TTGTAGTACCCTCGATGTTTCCTATTTCCATAACACAAGTGCTTTGGTCACTTTGGGATCACACAGCAACGTACACATCGCAATGCGTCTAATAAACCTACTGCCAGTAGCGTGGGAGTTGGGTAGATTGCAGACTTTGTTGTTTCGACGTATTATTTGCATTTATCGAAGTATTATTCGTAGATATTTCAAAACAAAAACCTAAAACACAATTTTGTTCCGTCACATCGTTCTGAACGGCCGATTAACAATTCACTGTAACCAAAAAGTAAATCGTATGTTTGTTTGCGAACTTAGCGCGGTTCATTTGCATACATGGCAACGCAACAGCGTGGGTAGGCAGACAGGCGTGTGAAAATGGCAAAGTTCTCTGTATAATGAAGATGAGTGAAGATGTTTGGCGTAATCCACCGCATTGGTGGAAACTTGGAACAAACCACAACCGCTGCCTGCCGAACTCTGCTTGCCGCGACTTATGAGTTGCGTCACTCTGATTTCAACGCTACGTAATCTACTTTCAGTTTTATTCAAATACGTTTAAGGCCCGTTTACACAAGTACAAATACATTGCTTGTTTGATCGTGTCACTGGGCTTACTTTGACTCGTGTAAACTGACCTTCAGACGTAAACAGATACCTACTTTTGTTTTTGAGTATACATAAGTAATGTGTATTTCTATAGCAATGTGATATATCATGATGTTTCTAACCGACTTCATAAAAAGAGATTAGATATTTTTTGTATGCGTGTTACGCAATTAATCTTGTCAATTAATTTGTGAACCGCCCTTAGAGGATGACCTGAACTAGGGGACGAATCCGTTTCGTACTTTCCTTTAACCGATTCCAATAAAACTTGACAAATAGGTGTAATTCCAATAAAAAAGTCAATAAGCAAACTTTTGAAGCCGGTTTTTTTTGTAATAAAAAGTTATAATTACTACTAATAAATTCATCTCTTTTTGTGAAAATACTTCACTAATTTGTCATTATTATTGATATAAAGATGGAACAAGCACAAAAAAAAAATTCTTTCATCCAATTAGACTTGCTGGCTCGATCCGTAATCTCAGATGATAAGAGCGGTGGCCATGTTTAGGCGACAGAAGCTGGTTCGATCGAATCCAATGACATCTAAGAATTTTTCTTTGTATTTGTTCGATCTTTACATCAAAACATGTTAGATGAGACAGTTAGATGCTCTCAGATTATTTTGTTCTAACATTTGTTTTCCTACGTTTAACTTACCGACATACGTAGGTGACTTGAGTCGCCGGCTTACGTGCGTTTTTACGTAATTACTTTATACAGGTAAAAATTCATATCAATATAATAGATTATTACAATCGCTAATTCCGTAGACGATAAAAAGCTCCGAAATTTGGACTTTAATAAATAGTGCAAATCAGTCTCTAGTATTGGAAATGTCCATTGGCGATGACGACTATCTCCAAATAGTGGCTTATCTGCTTTGTTTGCCTCCTACTTTACATTAAAAAAATAATACTCATTCTGAAGATTCTTGAAAGTCAGAAATTTAATTAGAAAAATAGGGTACCTATTTCCCACCTGTTTCACGCATAGATGCCTACCACTTCGCTAGGAGCATAGGGTTGTCAATTATTAGTTTCGTTGTACGTACCGGTTGTAAACACAATTTGAAAATACTTTATTTATTAATAGTTTGTTATTTTTAATACCAGGATCCCGGATTGGTATAACGATTATGAGAGTATGATTATAAAATATAAATGAAATGCTGAAGAATTCTAAATTTAAGACACTCTTGTTCAAACAACTACACACACAACAGCAAATACGTCTAATATTTGATGTTTATAAACAATGCGTGAACACTTCAATTCTATAATGAATGGTACGCATCGCGTGCTCGCACACATACAAGCCCCACTGCAATATTTGTATGGAATGACCATATTTGACTTACTATATACTATGCAATTATAAAGATGCGATGGAACAAAGTAAACTTCAATTTTAAATTTACCTTTATTATATAGAAATATGTATATAATTGTTACATTTAGGAATTCGTTTAAGTAAAACTTGCAAATAACCGTTCACCGTTTAATGGTCGGCAACAAACTGACAATCGTCTTTTTATGATTACCCACATACACTATATCCCTCCACCACTATTTAAAAAATATTTTTTTTACGACATAAAAGTAAATAATGTTAAACAACTTAAAATAAACAATAACTAGGGAATACCTATAATAGTATGGATTCTTTTCAATAGTACTACCACTTGTAACATATTTGTTTATTTCTAGTGGAGCATTTGGGATACCTTTGTAACCTTTAATATCATCTGACTTTGATGCATCTAGGGCCGGGTCTGTGTGCATGTCCGGTAATGTGGTCGTTGTGCTTGATGTTCCTGCATCGGATTATGGTGTGTTTACAAACAACGCTGTCGCAACCTCTAGCCGATGTTCATTGTTGCGATCATTTTCAGATTCCACTCTGCCCTCTTCATCCAATATCTCCAGGGGCGAGTTCGACGTTGATTTTGTTGATTCAAAAGATAGGTCGCTTCCTTCTTCGCCTTCCTCGTTTTTTTTTACAATAACTACTGGGTCGTCTAATGGTTTTCGTTGCCCCAACTGCATTTCTGTCTCTAGCATTTGCCCTTGTTTTGGATAATCACCGTAGGCACTTATGTCATCCGATACACTAGATGCATCCGTATCCTTGTACTTAAGTAACTGATCTACATGTTTTTTTACACAATAGTCTATTTCCGGTACATATATAGTATACATGCGAGAACCGATTTTTCCTTGAATTGTACCATACTTCCATGTGTGTTTAGTTCCATTAAAAAAAAAATATTTTATCAATACTTTATCTCCTTGTTTAAAATCAGTTCTGCGATGTCCTCCGTATTGTTTATGCTGTAAGGTCTGCTTAATATGTACATTATCTGTTGCTGTGGATGCCAACGGCGCGTTATTAATTGTCACTTTACTATCATGCATATCAACGTCCCGCAACAAATCTAATCGACAGCGTAGCGGACGACCCAGCATCAATTGTGCCGGCGAAAAACCTGTTGTGCAATGAGTCGAGTTTCTGTAATCAAATAAAAATTTTTGTAACTTTTTTAATAAAGTTTTTTGATGTTTTGTCATGTTTTGTTTTAACATTACAGTAATACCTTTTTTTACAGTTTTTACAGTGTTTTCCGCTTGACCATTCGATGCAGGGTGGTACGGCGAAATCGTTAAATGTTTTATACCGTTTACGTTACAGAATTCTCCGAATTGTTTTGAACAAAAATTTGTGGCGTTATCCGTAACTATGGTTCGTACCAAACCGTACCTACTGAACAAGTCGCATAATTTCTCTATAATTATTTCACTGTCTGTTCGCGTCAACATAAAACACTCCACCCATTTTGAGTGTGCATCTACTGCAACTAAAAACTGTTTGCTATCTATCGAAAACATATCAAGATGCAACCGCTGCCAAGGGTGCGTAGGGTACGGCCACGGGGCGCTAGCGGCGAGCGGGGTGGGGCGCTGCGTTGAGTTTGACATATACTACAAGAACGTATTTTTTCTTCTATGTGTTTATCAATGTTTGGCCACCACATTCGTGCCCGCGCCTCTGTTTTTGTTCGCACGATTCCGAAGTGTGACCTATGCAATTCGTGTAATAATTGCTCCCGATATAAAGTTGGTATGATTATTTTGTGGCCACGCATTACGCAACCGTTTTCTAAAGACAACTTTAATCTACAATTGAAATATGGTAAAACATCTTTATTTGTAACCTTAGCTGGCCAGCCATTTTGAATGTAACTCATTGCTTTTGTTAATATCAAGTCGCGTTTGTTTTCTTTGCTAATATCACTCATAATTACTGGTTTTAACAACGATTCATCAATAAAATTTATATACAAGTTCTGTGTGCTGTTCATTAAATTCTGGTATTTCCGACGCTTGTGCCGTCCTTGACAAAAAATCTGCTACATTGTTTTCACTTCTAATATATTCAATACTAAAATTATACGCAGTTAAAAAGAGAGCATAACGTTGCAGTCTATTAGCCGCCGTCTCTGGAACACCTTTTTTGTTTCCAAAAATAGATAAAAGAGGCTTCTGATCAGTGCGTAATATAAAAGGTGTATTGCAACCGTATAAATAATGATGAAATTTTTTTATGGTGAAAATGATAGCTACCGCCTGCTTCTGGATTTGTGAATAATTGCGCTCGGCATTAGAAAGGGAACGAGACGTGTATGCAACTACTCGCTCGGAGCCGTCGGCCTGTCGCTGCGCTAATACCGCACCGAGGCCCGCGGGACCCGCGTCTGCGGTCACCACTGTCCGCAGCGCAGGATCATAATGCGCCAGCACGCGTTCAGACTATAGCTCCTGTTTTATTTTATTAAATGAGTTGTCTTGTTCCACCCCCCACTGCCATTTTACACCTTTTTTTAATAGTGAATGTAATGGACTCAAAAGGCTTGATGTATTTGGAACAAAATTTCTATAATAATTTATCATTCCTAAAAATGACTTCAATTCACTTACGTTTTTCGGACAAGAACTGTTATTCAAAATGGCCTCAACTTTTTTCCTTGACTTTTGTAAACCGTATCTATCTATTTTGTATCCCAAATATTCGACCGACCTTTTGAACAATTCGCATTTTTCTTGTTTTAACCTTAACCCTGCGTCCTGTAATCGCTTTAATACTTGCTCTAACCGTTTTAAATGTACTTCCTTATTAGGTCCCGTAACTAAAATATCATCCAGAAATATACAAGTTCTCTCTACACCTGAAAGTAATTGCTCCATCGTACGCTGGAAAATAAAGGGTGCATTGGCTAAACCGAATACCAGTCTATTGTAACGAAACAAACCTTTGTGCGTATTTATGCATGTTAAATTCTTTGATTCATCCAATTCTAACTGATTGTAGGCCCTAGATAATTCCAATTTTGAAAATGCGACTCCTCCGTGTAACTTAGCAAACAAATCTTCAATGCGTGGTAGTGGATAATTATCCAGAAATAACACTTTATTTAATGTTACGGAAAAGTCACCACAAATTCTAACATTTCCGTCGGGCCTTAAAACGGGTACAATAGGGGTTGCATATTCAGAACTTTCTACTTTTTTTAATACACCTAAATCTAACAACCTTTCCAACTCTTTCTCCACTTTTGGCTTTAAAGCTAACGGCACAGGTCGGGGCTTAAAAAAATTCATCTGTGACTTTGTTTTTATTTTCAAATTTACTTTATATTTATTAAATTTACCTAATTCGTCTGAAAACAAAACTGCATATTTTTGCTTTAACATAAATTCTACGCTATTTTCCTTTAAATTGTTGCAATCTACTCTACATAATTGCAAGTCAAATGCACAAATAAAATCGCGTCCTAATAAAGCAGATTGATTGTTACTTGTTTTAATTACAAACATTTTTAACATTTTCGTACGTTTCTCAAAGATTACCGGTAACAAAACATAGCCTAATGGAGAGATTTTGCTTCCGTTTTTTACAATTTGACACTTCTTTAGAGTATGTTTATGTTTATAATATGATTTATACGTATCATAGAATAAAACAGACACAGCGCTGCCACTGTCAATTTCACATAAAATATTCACATTATCTATCGACACCATTTGCTGCATAGGTTCGCCGTTTAAGCATTGAATACTAAATAAATCATAGTTACCCTCGAGAAGGTCGTCGTCATCCACAGACAGACAATAATTATTTTTCACATTCGTTTTACACAGTCGTTGCAAATGCCCTTTTTTGTTACACTTTCGACACGTATATTCGGAATAACGGCACTGATCTTTCGCATGGTTTTTATACCCACACACTTCACAACACTTGCTTACTCTCGTATTATATCGCGGGATATGACGGGAACTCAAACTACCAGCACCGGTGCTGCCTCGACGTAACGCGAAAACAGGTTGCACGGCCGCCGCCGCTACCGTGTCGTGCTCCGAACGAGTCACCTGCAATGCCAAACGCGCACAGCGCCCATTCTGAGCTAATTCTACCGCCTTATCAAATGTTAGCGTATCCACATCTTCGGCAAACAATTTCTCTTTTTCCTTAGCGTTTTCTAGTCCTAGTACAAATCGATCTCGTAGTGCAGTCTCCAGATCGTTCCTAAATCCACAGTACTGCGCCAAACTTCGCACTCGCGCCGCCCAGTCGGTCAAACCCTCCCCGGGCCGCTGCTCTGCTTTACAAAAAATGTACCTTTCTGCGAACGTACATTTTTTTGATCGTAAATGATTGTCTAGTATTTTTAACAAACTAGTATATTCTATGGTGTCCAAAGCCTTTGGGTATGACAAATCTGTAGCGACGCGGTAGGTATCTTCCACCAAAGCCGTGAGCAATAATGCGCATCGTTTCTTCCCTAGTTTGTCGCTACTGTCGTCGATATCGTTTGCAGTACAATATTGTATAAAACGACTTTTAAATATGCTCCATCCTTGTGTCCGGTGGTCGAACGTGAGACTGTCGCCGATCCTTACGCCTGTCATTGTCCTTATACTTCTGTATTTAAACGTATTTTACTTATTATTATTTGTATTTATCACTATTACACTATTTACACGCGAATTCGTAGACCCTCGTCGCCAATTTGTTACATTTAGGAATTCGTTTAAGTAAAACTCGCAAATAACCGTTCACCGTTTAATGGTCGGCAAAAGACTGACAATCGTCTTTTTATGATTACCCACATACACTATAATAATATAATTATCACCAGGAATATATATTTTATAGACAAAGATATATTAAAGATATACATAATTGTACATTTATATAGCATTTACGCTGCTAACAGATTGACTGCGTGTTGGCAGTTAATGCGTGAAGTCGTATCCTACTTCATATAGCCACGATTGCATGAAGTTGATAAGGACTTCACGCATAAACTTCATGCGGCCGAGATCGAATGAAATTCACGCATTACCTGCAGTCAATATATCAACAGCCTTAAAGTTTTTGGATTGATATGAGGAGAGCATTTAAAAGTAAACTTTAGTATTTCATAGTTACTACGGTTAAATTATAACTCGATGAAAACATTATTCTGAACGGAGTTCTGATTTAATAAGAAAGGGACGTAAAATGTATTTACTTACTTAGGCATAAGCAAATATTAGGCGTAATACAGGTAACAAGTAAATCTATGAACTTACGTATACAAAGCAAACATATAAGCACACATGATTATAATAATATGTATGTATTTGATGAGGGAATTATACAAAATAATTTTCCGTTAATCGTGACGTCTTACCACTTGATGCTTACCATTGATTAAGCTTAAACCTTACAACACCCTAGCAAAGTTTAGTTTACGTTGTACAGTTAAAGGTTGTTCAGCTTTACTCTTCCTATAACTGCTAAATACAATGAAAGTTGTTTGAAAATGTGTGTGGACATATTTGAGGAAATACCGTTTGAGATTGTTTAGCTTAATATATTAATTACAAGTGGTTTTAAATAAAAATCATTTAAAACTGACATAAAAAAAATAAGCTGTAAAAGACCATAACGTAATACGCTTTTTATAACCCGTCAAGGGTTACATGGTGGGTATACATGTCATATTTGGTTTGTAAAATTGTGACATTATTTTTTATTATTAGAGTAGGTTATGAGTATTTTACAATTTAACAATTGCATACTTAATAATACATACAAAATATGACACTCTTAAATGATATTACATATTCTACCATGTTTTAGGCAACTAAATAAATAATTATTTAGATATCTTTTTCAGAATGAGACATTATGACGTTTATGATATTTAAATCTTCATTGAAGATTTAAATTCAACTCTTTACCATTTATGATAAAAACTGTACAAAATTAAAATCTAAAGCTGAATACGCTGTTGATTGTACATTTTCGCAGGTAATATTTGCGATAGGTCGCTACTAAGTTATTAATTTTCAAAGGGTCGGAACATTCTCATCAATATCAATTTTCCTTCAATTTAAAAACTTTCAATTAATTATTCGTGAACATGATAGTAAATCAGATTTTTTACACCAATATTGGTCTACATACTAATGTAAAACAAATGTTTTGCACAAAAATTTCATTGCAATTCTAAAGAATATAGACAATTGTTTCATTCAATATCTATTAAATTTACGTAAAATCTACATTTATAAATTTATTTACAACTACGAAAACTAGAATCATTAAACTATAAACTATTCTGGAATATAATTTGTTAGATCTATTACTATTTGCGAGTTTGTACTCGTCTAATTCAAATTTGTTTATAATTTTGCGAACTTTGTTGCTTAGTTTGTCTTTGTTAACGAAATTTGTCGTTATATTAATTGTTTTATTTTTTATAAATTCATCACGGACTGTTGGGACGTTTGGTGTACGCTCAGGAACATCTGTCACAGTCTCCATTTCGTCTTCGTCATCAGAATTGTCAGCGGAGCCAAATTGATTATCTTGTTCTTCAGTTGCAGTCGTATATTTATCGCTTTTACTCGCTGGGCTTGTATTTCGGACTGTAGGCCCCGGGATTTCTGCAAAAAGAAGCAATTTTTAGTAGGAAACTATAATATGCATTAAAAGTTTTTGTTTCTTTTTTACTCACACTCATAGCCCCGCACTAGGGAAACCCTGTGTCGCCGGTGCCATGGACACACACATAGGTAGACAACTACAAATTACATCTAAACTCTCGAGAGAAATAAATGTAGGCCATACAAATATTTCTCCCGGCCTGAGAATCGAACCTCTGCGTGGCAGTCCAGTATGGTAGCAGTTAAATTAGAAACTATTTTTTTTATGATACAAAGTCAAGTGACGAACATGTCGTGTCTCGCCAGACACACGTCAACACGCCTGTCCATAGCAGATACAGTGCCAGTCAAAGCTTTAAATCGCAAAGATCTCAAAAACCTGCCAATGCGTCAGTCACTCTGAGACTTAACTTGACAAGTCTCATGTGCAACCTTGCCAATCAAAACCGAAACGCTATAAAGCTTACATTGCTGCATGGCAGTAGAAAATATATAAAGTGGCAGTACTTCAAAGGAGGAACACTTTCACGACGAGATCTACTGCTACTGAATGCGAGCTTTCCTAAAAATCTCTATGGTAGAAGCAGACAATTGGTTTCTCAGTCTTGGAAGAGCAATTTAAATTTAAATTTCTATAACCTTTTATCAGGTTTCGAGGGTTACTATTAGTTTGATTATGGTAACGAATTCCTTAATTATTGTGAAAACTGATCTTCGTAATTTATAAACAATTTAGCTTTGTGATATTATTTTGTAAAGAAAAGGAAATTATAGCGAGATATTATTATATATTATATAAACTCGTTGTTAGTTAGTGACGTTTATTTTAATTATATATAATTTTATTCGACGTTCAAGTAGTATTCACGTAGCAATCGTCATAGTTTACACATTGTCCTGTAAGTTTGCAGCAATGATAGTTCTAGATAATTTCCCCAAATGGCAAGTATGAATCAAGCCAGGTATTGTTTTTAAAGACGAATAACACTCGAATTCTTTTAGAAAATTCTTATCGACGTAGCCTGGCCAATGGCTATGTTATAGCATCTCCTTTGCCATTCTTTTTTTCTTTTTATCGTGTCGATGCTTCTTTTGCTTTAGGATTGCATTGACTTTAAATACGAGAGGTATGTTGCCACGTAGTCGCGTAGAGATTCCTTGTACAGGTATTAAGGAACAAGAGGCGGCGAGCAAGGTGTGCTCACCGCCTATCGTGCCTTAATACCTGTACAAGGGAATATCTCTACGCGGCCACGGATAGCGCAGTGAAGGTGGCAACATACCACGCATATTCGCCACCACCTGGTTTCATCATCCCTCAAGAGCAATCATCACTAATTATTGTCGGCGGTAGCCCGTGTGGAAATCTTAGAATCGATTGTAGAGTCAAAATCTGCAAATGGAAGTTCCGGGATGCTAGTTAAACACGGTGTCATTGCGGAGCCCCAACACAGTCCATCAGTCCATGCAGCACTTGCTCGTGCGCCCCTTGTGCCATTCTTGTTAACTTCTACAGACAGGGTGCAATTTTAAATCATAAGATACTTACCATATAGTCTGATGATACTGTCGACTTCTCCCAGAGAGTTTTTGGCGACGCATCTGTAACCACCAACGTCAGCAGCAGTAAGGCGGCGTACTGTCAGCACCATGCGGCTCTCAAATGAACTAATCGCTGCATTCAGCACCTCGTATTTATTTGATGATATCACCATTTCATCTGTATACAAAAAAGATAATGAGGATAAAAGAATGAACAATTCTAGAAACATTTTTTGGAAAGTAGATTCTAGTAGTAAAACTTAAAATTTCTATTAACTAGATCCCTAATACTACAAGACGCAAGTAAGTAAGTAAGAAAGTAATATTTCACGATTGTAAAGTTTTTTCTTATACTTTCAAGTGACGGGACGAACAAGTCGTGCGCCTGATGGAAGCTTCACGCTATTCCGTAACAGTACAGTGCCACTCAAAGCTTTAAATTGTAAAGATCTGAGGGGCACTATCACTACGCCCGTTACCCTGAAACATAACTTGACAAGTCCCACCTGCCTATAATTTCACTAGCACCCTTACCCTTCAAAACCGGAACACAGCAATGTTGACATTACTGCTTGGCGGCAGAAATAGGTAAGGTGGCAGTACTACCCTAGATGAACTCTTTCACAAGGAGCTCTACTGCTAGTAAAGACTACTTTAAATATGTGTATAGTGTTTTAGGCAACGCAATACAATTTGATAATTTTTGATTTGAAAAAAAAATAATACTAATCTTACTAAAATTAAAGTGCAACTATTTATGTCCCAGCCTTTACGATTTATTCTTGTAGCAGGAACGACATTTTTCAAGAGACGCCAAAGCGGCGACATTTCCTGGTATCCCTGTTGGAGCCCTAAACAATCCTTCCTGCGTTCCTGCCGAAAACCGGTAAACCCCAAAATGTTGTTCATGAATGATAAAGTGACTAGCTTTCTGAAAACACTGTCTCGCTAAGAAAATAAACTATCGATTTCGTCTACTCTGCAACTAAACTCTTGAATCGCGAACATGATATTAAGTTTTGCCGTGAAAAGTAACTCGTATAGAACTTATTTCCAGGCGCATTAATTAAAGCACTGACAAACTTTACAAGGAAACGATAACACCAGTAACGCCTTTTCTAATCTTAATTTCGATCGAAACTTCGGTTTGTTTACTCTCCTGTGTACTCCGCGCGGCTTTACGACGTGCGCTAAAGATTTCGCACAAAATTACTGTAGAAACCCAGCGCTCTACAGCAAGTCCCAGTTTCATTATAACAAGAAATTTCATCTCAATTAATGTCTAAAATAACATTGTAACACTCTTAATTACGCTCGAGTGAGGCCTGCTTAATTAACACTTACATGTCAGCCGCCCTAACATAGATTGATGACAAACGAAAATGACGATCCGGCACTGTACGCCCTTTGGGTTGGTTTTCGCAATGGGCAAAAGCGCCAGTCACTCGACACGAGTTCGTGAACGAACAAAGGGCATGATCGACGGCCCGCAATACACCACTCGGTCATATCATCGCCGCAAAACAAGTTACGACCTTAATGCATTTTAATAATTAACGCGACGCGACGCTCACTAAAAACGACCAGTTTGAACAGGCAGGCGGCGTTTTCAGAGCGTTTTTCAAACAAAAGTACAATGAACATGACACATTTATATCACCATTTTATGCGTATATTTATTATTAAGTACGTTTCACAATAGATGTAACACCTACTGGATAGTATATAGACATTCACCACTGAGATAACTCTGAGACGCTCGACGTGTAACAGCTAACAAGGCGGGCGGTATCGGCTATTCGACAGGAATTGTTATGACTGTTACCGAGCTCCCCAGTGGTTTTCACTAGCATGGATTTACAGCAAACAAAGCCCCATAGTATCAGTAGGAGAATCACTTAATTTTAATGTATAAATACCACCACATTTTTACAGCAAGAAACAAATTATTTATTTCTTTATACAGTTATTACAATATTGAATACTATAAATTAAATGCTTTGAAAATCCTATCTAATTATGAGTGAATACAGCTTGCAAAAACAACGTAATTAAGGATAAATATAAACATAAAAAGCAGTGACCAAACGTATTCAAAAAAATACAAACAAAAACAAAAAAATACTAGAGTACACAGGTCTGGAGCAGTATCAAACTAAATGGGAAAAAATAAATTTATTTACAGTTTCATACTATTATTTTACGATATTTGTGTAGGTATTGCTGTTATAGTATGTCGATTACGCAATGCTTGTGAACTTAGGATATCTTAAGAGTTCTGAAATTAAATTTAGCCAAGCAATTGTAGTCAGTTTCTGGATACTTAACATAAATATTTTCATAAGTTATAAAATATAAATATAGATGTTTTACTTCGTTAAACAACCCTTTTTTCTTAAGGGTATAGTACTCTTTTAAAATAATACGTCACACTCGACCGACGCGAAATCCCCAAGGATCTGTCGCTGCTCTCGTAACCTTTTACACTAAAGAGCCGTCATTCGTATTGTCGTGGAAATCTGTGTCAGCAGCGAAAGATTAGTCGACGGATTTAAGTACGAGGGAAACGGCTCATATTAAATTACTCCACGTTTGCGCCTTTTCGGATATACGTTACGTGGAACTTAAAAATTCTTGAAGCTCAAAACTCTGTTCCCATTGAAAATGTAAATTTCAAGCGACAATTGCCGAGCGAAACTTTGCGAAACCGCCAACGGCGGAGCAAAGGGGAGCGAGGTTCAAAACGCTCTATCCAGCTCATTACTGATTGTTTCTGACTAGAGTTAGAACAGCTGTTCAGACCGAAACGCAAAATATGACTACAACGACTTCACAAAAAATACGTTTGTTTCTTGAATACGCAACGATTTACATAGGGCATGAAAACCGATTAGTCGGTTAAGCGAAAAAACCGAGTAACCGTCCATTACGGAACCCGGTTTTCATCTAAGGAATCATCAAGGATTCATCAAGGAAGGATTCATCGGTTTTCATCAAGTTTTTCGGGACATTCGGTTTGGTTTTGAAACCATGAAATTTATATTCTTAATTCATAATATCTTGAGTAATAATGATAAATAAACGCTAACTAAATGTTAAAATGCGAGTGTCGAGCGCAAATATGCATATTTGTATTAAAATTGTTGTTGTTGCTTAAAGTTGTTGATTTATTTTTTATTATTATTGAATGAATATATATAAGAACTTGATTGATCTCATCGAAGCTAAGAATTCCATAAATATAAACATATAACGTACAAAACACTGATTTGAGTTTTTTCGTTTTCTGACACTTTTAAAGACTTATTTACATCAGAAAAGTATCCGAAAAAGCCGGATAACCGGGTAACCGAAAATTAAAAACCGAAAAAAACCGGTTTTCAAAATGTAATTCCCTCGTATCTTACATGCCCTAGATGCACAATATTTTCAAAAGTTTACCTATCGAGAGCGTATACGAAAATATTCCACTTAGATTTCATGTTTTTAACCAATGATAACACACGCAGATATTGTCATTCTTCGTGAATACGTAACCGTATGATTTGGAGCTGCTACGTTACGCGCACAGATTTTCTTGACACAATATGTACGTTGTTATGACACCGGAGAACGAGAAAATGTGTTATTACTTGTTATATTTATAACGTCAAGATACTTTGGCTTGTTTTACGCGCGAATAGGTATTAATGGATATTTCAGTGAGAATATCACCTGAGATTTTATTATGAACCCCGGGAGTAATGTTTCTACTTTTCAATGTTATTGGAACACATTTGGTTTTATGCGCTCAGGATTACGAGCTAAAGCTCGCGTGACGGATTCGATTATTGGATGGGAAGACCGAAAAATTCGATTATTGAAGCATTTGCTGAGAACCATCAAAATTTTAATAACAGAATCACACATCTCAAACACCGTGTGCAAATCAAGGATAATATATCAGTGAAGGTATGTTTTGATAAATAAAAATGTTCACGGACAGTGCAGCATTTTATACAGAAAATAAATAAAAAACATCCCAAGACGTATGGGAAAATGAGGCTTTCTCACCTCATACGGGCAATATGAATAAAATATGGGTTCATCAGTTGAATAAACGAACATTTCGTGTTCGAATAACCTTATACAGATATAACACGTCAAATATTTGAATCAGACTAATACATTGTGAATTACGTGTAGTGATCAGAATCCAGTGACTTCTGGAAAATTTACTTGGGAGTAGGCACTTTGCAAAACTGCACGAAAGGTTTTTCCTTCAACACAGTGATTGCTCTCGGTGATGATATGTTACTTTATAATTGTTTATTTATGAACTAACACATCCAGTAGCAGTAAAGCTCCCTGTGTAAGAGTTCGTCCAGGGAAGTACTGCCACCATACCTATTTATGCCGCCAGCAGTAATGTGAGCATTGTGGCGTGTTGCATGCTGGAATTACAGGCACATGTCAACTTATATATCAGACACATGGCAACTTATATCAGCAGTATCCCTCAGATATTAGCGATTTAACGCTCTGAGTGGCATTGGATAGATGAGCGTGTCACTTACAACCAGGTGCACGACTTGTTCATCCCGTCACTTAATATCATAAAACGAAATATTTACATAGTGAACTCATTATATTGAAGCCGTGGTAGCCTAACGGTTTGACGTACTGTCTCTTAAGTAGATGGTGGGTTTGAATCAGCGCTCGTACCTCTGAGTTCCTCGGAACTTATACGCGAAATTTAATTTGAAATTCACCACGAGCATTTCGGTAAAGGAAAATATCGTGACGAAATCTGTACGTCGAAGAAGTGAAGTCCCCAACCCTCATTGAGCCTGCGTGGCTATAACCTAACCCTCGCCTGGAAAGAGACCGGTGCTCAGCAATATGATGAATAAATGGGTGATGATGATACTTTTCCTGGACTTATACCGATTCTCGTTCATTTTAACGCGTGAGCACGTGTCACTGAACATATTCCACAAAAACTTATACGAGCAAATGCGCGTGCTAATTTGTTCCGCTTAAGCATCTAAAAGACTCCTTTGATTTAGTAGTGGTTCATGTTGTCTACAACAATTTGTAACTAAGGTGTTAAACAAGAGCTGAGCTAGTTAATTATTAAGCATTGTTTGAAAATGTGTATGTGTATCTGTAACACCCTTCTCAGAAACCTTTAGAGAA